TCAATTTAATGTGCACTATTTCTGGCAGTCTGCTTAGGTCCTAAGTTACAATGAATTTAATCAGGCTTGCCTAAATAATAATTAAGACTATAAGTTTGTTTGTTGTCTTGCATAGCTTTGTAAAACATGAAATGATTGGAAATATTAAGCCAATGGAGAGGAAAAAAATCCATGGAGCAGTGACAATTTCAGGGGAAAAAAAGGGATGTGCATGAGAAGAAATGTTTTTGTTTTGTTTGTTTTTAAAGAAAAAATCCAACCCATTTCAAGCTGAATTCTTCTGTTAAATTGCAATTGTCAAACTGGCATCAGACCACTACAAACAAGTAACAGTGGTTTCAGAAAAATGTCAATTCTGGTGTAGTGATTTTTCTTCCAGTAGTATGATTTTTATTCCTGGCTCATTTAATTTCCTGAGCCAGTGTGGTGCAGTGGTTTGGGTGCTGGACTAGGATTCTGGAGATCAGGGTTCAAATCCCTGCTCAGCCATGGAAACCCACTGAGTGACCCTGGGCAAGTCACACACAGCCTTAGAGGAAAGCAATGGCAAACCTCCTCTGAACAATCTTGCCAAGAAAATTCTGTGACAGGTTCTTATACTTGATGATTATATGCTGCTCTTGTCCTCAGTTTAGATATTATTTTGTTGTTGTTCTTGTTGTTGACTTCTTTCAACGTATTTCTCCTTGAACCCACAAAACTGGGCATTAATACTATTCCCTAATAAATATGTTTTTGTGGGAAGAAATGATCTAGAGGAAGAACTCATTCTGAAGCATGTGTTTAACAAAACTACTAATTTGAAAGTCAGTAGCTGCCACTGCCTAGCATCATACCCTTGTATCAGCAGTGGTCATTTATTATTTCTATATAATATTACATTCACGGCTGACCAGAGGTTATTTTATATGCTACAAAGCTAGGTAGCACAAAGCTGAGAAAGTTAATCCATAACAATGCCATTTCAAACATATACATGTAGGCGTGCAAGCCTGGCTTAATCCATTTTAACTGAACATTGAAAATTAAGATGTTCAGTCTCAAAAGTAAATCAGTTTAGGTTTGATGATCTGCATGAAGGACATCAAACATAATGTGTGAATTTATTTGTTTTTGTTCAGTGGACAACCTACTCTGACAACTATCTAAATTAGCACTGCATGGCAAAAAATTATCTATAGGGGACCAGCACTTCTTTCACCCTACATGATAAAGTAGTTAGAAACCCTAAGACACCAGGATTCCTTGTACTCTACATAAGAAGACAATTCTTTGCTACCAAGTCTTCTAAAGTCCTTATTTGCTCCAGAGCTATAACCAAAACTCAGATATATTACTTATTTGAACTCTCTGCCCCATTCTTCTAGCCAACATGGATAATGTAAGGGGTCATGGGCACACCTCTGATGATGGTGCATAGTCATGTCTCTCATTGTTATTGTGTTTCTGTCTGAAACACCAGATAGAGTATTCCCATTAAATACTTTGGTCAGGAACCAGGCTTCACACCCTACATAGAGAAAGTGATGGGAGGAGTGAAATGCACTGAGCCAACACCAGGGCTTCTGGAGCAGTTTTTAAGGAACAATGACTCCACCTTGGCAGCCAGGTTGCTATTAATTTTATTTACTTGCAGATACTTGTGGGGAGAGTAAATTGGTTTTCCCATCCATTATCACTGAAAGATCATTAAATATGAAGACATTTACAAACACAATTTGGACTTAGAAATGCCCCCCATGTGTTCAGTGAAGCTTACTCCCAAGAAAGTGCACATAAGATAGATTGCAGGCAGCCTTTATGAATCCTAGAAGGACTCAGTGACAGACCACTTTAATATTTCTTAGTACTTCATAATTCAGTATACTTCTGATTGATAATGTCCAAGGGCACTCAGCTTGGTGGTCCAATTTTGGCAGATCATTTTCGGTATGGGGGCTCAGCCCACTCCTGCCTAGTCTGGGGGAGGGAATCACCCTGTTTTTTCATTCTAGGTCCCTTGGCCAACACTACCAGCACCCCCAGAGTCACTCATTGAGTGACAGTCATTTCACTCTCCTGCCCCTCTTCACACAGGGTAGAGCAATTGTGGGGGGCTTGGGTGGAGGTAAGTGGGACCCAGCCATATCGGACTCATTGCTGATTGTTCTCTTACCCTGCTGCAAAGAATTATCTGTCACTGGAGGGAGATCTCTCTCCGTCATGAGAATAGGACACATTGGTTGCCACAATAGTTAAAATGTAATCATAGTGCTATAGTTGTGTAGTGTGAAAGGGCCCATTGTGTGGTGAGAAGGACTGTGATGAACATTTTGCCAACTGAAGGAATGATTTTTCATGCTTCTTGAATAGTAATATGTGACTCAGGGTTCATAAAAAAAGAGTATCTTTAGAAGCAACCTGGGATTTACGTGGAAGCTGATGTAGCAGCATAAATTAGAAAGTGATTTAGCCCGCAACCTTATGCATAGCTTACCTGAGAGCTCACTTTATTGATTCATGAATAGTATAGGATTTACTTTGAGTGAAATGATATACATGATTGGGCTCTTCATCTTCTAAGGCTCCAAACAAACTGAATAGAGAATAATGCTTAGGATTAAACTATGTGTCTCTTGACATGCTTTTCAGAGGCTACTTCCCATCTCATTAGACATCCTTCTGACATCCTTCTGTGGGAAAAGCCATAGTGTTCAATGGGAGATGTGTTCACAAATAGGTGCAAACATGTGCCAGGGATGATTTTTAGTGTCTATCTTTGATTTTTTGGAAAAACACATCTTGTGAATGCATCATAATTAATATTTTGATATAAGCTCCCCCCTGCATGATAGATTTTTATAAAAATATTTAATTTTCAACCATTTTAATGCTAAGATCCTGCCTCCAACACTGGGGTCAAACCAATGTTCGAAATATTGTCAAGTGATCTTTTGTTGTGAGACTTCTGAATTCAAAATGTCTGTTTCTGAAGAATGGAGCAACAGCTTGTAGGGATGTTCTTCCATTAAGGTGACATAAGCTCTTAAAATAATGCAGAAATTAATTATCCTTCTCAGGAAACTGACTTTCTTGGCAATCTGGATAAGGCTTTTTATAGAGCATGCTTTAGAAATATGTACAAACTGATCAAGAAACATAAACGTTCTTTTGACTGAAAATAATTTTCTTCATTGTTTTTATTTATAGCACAATCTTTTGGTTGTTTTTGTTTTTTTTTTAAAGACACAGTTCTAGAAGTAAAATTGACATGCACTTGCAAGGAAGGAAACATATGGACATCTCTTTTTTATAATTATCTCATATAGGAAAAATAATTTAACAGAATCAGGAATAGAATATTCTTGCACGACACTGTTCATAGCATTTATATGGTATATAAACATGACTATCAGACACTTAACAGCTACTAGAAATCATTTAAATAAGCCACACAGTCTTCAACTAGCAGCAGCAGCAGCAGCATCTCACACATTCACAACACTTCTCTCTTCCACACAAGTTTATATACACTGAGTAAGTCATTAAATATTGCACTTATTGGCCCATGATCCCTCAGGTTAGAGGTGTTCAAAAATAGAAAACAAATCTATTTTTATAACATCTTCATGCAACATTTAAGACACTTCAGTTCCACAAACACTATTAAATAGTACACACATTCTTGACAGTCCAACTGAATCACAACACAGTAGCTGACATTACCCACAATATATTGAACAGGAATTACAGCACAGTTTCCATCTAACACTAGTTTGCAAGGTACATGTCAGGATTACCTACTGATATTTATTGATCATGGTGAGTGTTAAGCAAGCCCTAGCATCTGTTTCACATGTTTAGGGAGAGATACAAAATTGCTGGGTGGTTGGGGTGTATGTTCTCTCTCCAAAAATGCCAAGTGGCTGTATCCAAACAGTATGCCATCTGCTCTGCTGTCTTTGTTAGTATGAACTCTACAGTTTGCAAAATTACTGCAGGCATTTGTGAGTGTCAGGTGAATTTCTTGGCTAGTTCCACAAAGCAGTGGAGTTAGGAGCCAGAGAGAAAAACTGGGGAATTAACTGATTTTGCCACATTACGATCAATACATGGCCCTGAATTCATATGACAAATATAGTAAAATATTGGTCTTATGACTATACAATGAACCCATTTTAACCATCATAACATAAAAAATCCATTTACCTGACTTGTGGTGGAAAATGTTGACAAAACCCCAGTATTGACCCTATTGTCTCACAGAAATAAACCAGCATTGGTCTGCTGAAGTTATAGGCAGAGTTTGGAAAAGTGACCTTTCTAGACTACAACTCTCAGAATCCCCTAGCCAGCCTGATAGTGAACAGTATGGCTGGGGGTTCCCACTAGTTGACATCCCCAGAAAGTAATCCAATCTCTGGTTACAGAAACTGTATGGTTGGTGGACATAAAGATAAAACCAGCCGTGTCCTAACTCTCCCCAGAGGGTCAAAGTACAATGGTCTACTCTTAGTACAATGTTATAGACAAAGAATGAGGAACTTTTGGCCCTTCGGACATTTTGAACTACAGTTCCCACATTCCATTACTATGTAGTCATGCTGAGTAGGGCTGTTGGAAGTTGATGGAAGTTGAAGGCTTTAACAACTGGAGAGCTGTTTCCTCTCCACTGTTGTAGATCATCCATTAGCTTATTAGCATCAACTAAATAATATGATCCAGTGTCTCTAAACTACCTGAGAGCCAACAGCTTTTGGAATTTCTAAAATAAAAATAGATATATGGGGATATGTCCACATCTAGGAAACCCATTCATAACGATGATCTTCAGTGTCTTGACACTCGTGTCCAGAAACCAAATATGTCATTCCACTAGTGAAATTGCTTCTCTTGGTGGAATGGTGATGAGGGCAAGAGTCCTCTCTCATCTCTGCTGCTCCCTATGTAGCCCCCAAATCACCTCTGGAGGTCTAGTGAATATTCTGGAGCTAGTTTTGGCAGTGCAGAGTGGGGCCAAGGTGGGGTGGGAAGTTTGGCTGTTAGGAGCTATTTGTTCCTGTGACATTAGATGCAGGCTTATAATTGCACTGGCTTATCCCAATGAACACAGATGTCATGGGGTGTTGTCCACAAAGACAAAAGGACACCTTCATTAAAGATTATTTCTATTGAAAATTCAACATGGATCCCTGTAAAACAATCCCGAATGATCCACAGATTTGTCTGTTGTTATTTTGGATACAGTTTGGATTGGACCTATGCAAAACTTGCCATGCTCAGAGTGACTAACCGTGTTTGATCCATGCAAAATGAATGTGCATACCAGTACCTTGTGGAAAAAAGAGCCCTATTCAACAAGACACATATTTACACAGTGCCATCACAAAACATGCTCATTGAAAACTAGGTCTACTAACTGTCCATGACTGACAAAAAACTGTATAAACAGACTTTAATCTTGTACCATTGTTCAGTCTCCTAAAAGAAAACACAACATTCCAACAATT